TTTGAGGTAAAATCCAATAATATTGCTGATACTGTGGCTTGAACATGGTCGAACAAAGACAAAGACACGCTGCATCCTTCACACTTTAACTCAACATACAGTCATCCTCAAATGTATTCATACCCTCCTATTAAAGCAGGAAAAAAGTAGCTGTCACTGATATAATTTGAAACTGACAAAAGTAATAATAAATAAAAAATGTAATGAAAATCATGACATTGCTTTTGAATTGTGGTTCAACAGAAATAGGAAAAAACAACAACAATAAAATACAAGCAAACAAGCATGATGGGACCTGTACACTAAGATTTTGTTGAACAACCCTTTGAGCCAATCACTGTAATCAAGTGTTTTCTGTAACTCTCAATCAGACTTCTGCACCTGTTGACAGGTATTTTGGTCCACTGCATATCAGCAAAGTGCTCTAATTTGTCCAGGACAGTTTTTTTTTCCCTTTTCTTTAATGGAAGAGTATGAATACATTTGAGGACGACTGTAATTTCTTTACGATCATGCATTAAATCATGGTGGCTGTGTGGCATTATGTTCACATTAAAGGCTGTGTGAGCTGACCTGAAGCTGAGGTGTGATAACAGCCTCGTACTCGATGGCCAGGATGTCAATTCCTGAGCTCAGCATAGACGGCGCCCCCTCCAGGAACTTCTCAATGTCCCTCAAAGCAGCTTGTGCCCCCTCCTTCGACTGGAACTTATCTACCAGCTGATTGGCCAGTAAATACGCTCCATCATCACACCAAGTTTGGGCCTGAAGGTAGAGAGCACTCATGTATCATAAAGATGTACGCGTGTCCCTTACATGTTATAAATAAATACACATCTCTCAATACCTGCCCAAGACAAAGCAGCAGCTGGTGTGTTTGCAGGAGAAGAGAGTGTTTGGTTTTTAGAGCAGCAGTAAGTGTATCACAGTAGTGGCGAAGCTCATTGCAGCGCTGCATAATGAGAGCCATGGCATAGTGGTGACCAGCTGATAGCTGGTGTCCGTGGAGGATGATGATCTGGGCTCGAGCCATCACCTCCTGATGGAGCCAACAAGGAAACACAAGGGTGACAGAGTCAGTTTTATTGGCTACACAGTGTTCACTGAGACCTTCCAGTCCTTTCACACCCACTCCAGATGTATGCAAACATCCAGGGACATATGGACAAACACATTTAGATGATTTTTGAAGTGAAAATAAGTAGAATACACACCATGCAGCAAAGAAACATAAAAAAATAAGCCATGAAATTAGTAGAAATTTACATTTGAAGTATGATGCATTTTTGAAGTCTTTTTGCTGCAGTGGGGCCATTACTTGAGGAGACACTGACCTGTGCATTAGATTCAACACTGTCCAGCTTTTTGAGAGCCTGATCTGCTTGAGCCAGAGTGTTTACAGTTATGGACAGTTCCCTCTCCTGAGCCATGAGATGCTCCAGACATAACTCAATCTAAACAGAAAAGACACAGCACATATACACAGATTAAAAAGAGAAACCAAAACAACACTAACATGAAGTCAACCTGGTAACTCCTACAGGCTTTATATACATTTTGAAACTTGTGTCTTAAGTATTTAACTACCTTAAATAAAAGATTTTACCCAATGGAAAGCAAAGAAATATAGAAAAATGAATATTGAACATATGAATGACAAGTGAATCCTCACCTCCTGGAAGCTCTGCTCATATCTGAGCAACTGCAGGTACTGATGGAGCTTCAGATGATGTTTCTCAAAGAAGCCATCAAAGGCTGACTCCATGTCTCTGAGCTGGGCAAGAAGCCTACAAACCAGAGCAACTGCTTTTGTTTCTATTGTAAAGCACTGAGTGTAGTATTCAGGGTTTGAATTTTAAAAAGATACATTTTTGAATTTCTTGAACCAAAGAGGGTAGCTGATTCCACCATAGACTACAATTTGACTTTCAAATGTGCTTTTTAGTAAATATTCTAAAAAAAATAATGAATGACAAGAAAGAAAAGGCCGTTTAATGATGCCTCACCTCTGTACTGTCTCCCAGTCCAGCCTCACATCCCACTGGGAGTCATCCTCCTTCCCAGTGGTCTCCAGGCTGGAGAGGAGATGACGGCCCTCCTTCGACACTGACCTGATTGCATCCTATGAAACAGATGACAACTTAACATCACAAATAGACAATTATATTTCTACATTGATATTATTGAATGCATTTTTTGTGAAAATTGTATTGTAAGCTTTACCTTGAGTTTTCTGTACTTGTCAGTGTGAGAATCGAGGAGATACTCAATGGCTTTTACTTCGTCTGGCAGGTCCGTCTCTGCCAGCTCAGTTCCGAAACCCTGAAGCATCTGTGCAATGTCTTTGACTGTTACAGCAAAACTTTCAATAGCCTGTAGTGGAAGCAAACGCACACAAAAACACTGTAATACTGGTGCATAGATGCATGAAACCGTCATATATTTGTGCAGTAAAAGCAGAACAATCTGTGCCCCAGTGTCCTTGAGAATCCTTGGTGGATTTTTGACAACAAAAAGGCACCACGACATATCAGTATCCAGGGAAAACAAGTGAGACACAACAAACCGCTGAAGTGCATGTTAACATCACACTGGGTAGGTTTAAAAACCATCAGTACTTTGCATTCCCATCTGTGTTTTCATTTTCATGTTCATATATGCTGAATTTCTATCAGCAGCTCTGTGAAACTGGCTGACAAATATGCTTCAGTCATACTAAACAGCAGGAAGATGATAAAGGATGACACTGTTTATCATTTGAAACCCGGCGTGTTTCTGAATCTGTGGCTTACCGTGCGTAAAACAATCCAGTCACTGTGACAGTAATCCAACGTGCCTCCAAACTCTGATGTCAGCTGGTTTTCATCAATGTAGCGCAGCAGGTCTGTGACAGAGCTCAGCATCACCACCTGAATGCGAGGACAAAATCTGAGACCTCACAAAGAACACTTTGTACTGTGTATATCATTACCTGATTTTAAAAGACAGCAAAGAGTTTCTCATAATAGTAAAGATAGCTGAGGGCAGCCTCTGTGTCATGCTGGACTACAGACAAGTCTATCATCTGCAGACACCAGAATAAAGGGTCATTAATATCATTTGGTGCATACGGAGTCACAGATGGTGGAAATGGCACAACATTAGATTTTTACCAGTGATACTTTTCAAATTAAAGTGCGTAGCTCAGCAGAAATATTAGACACATGTTTGGAAGAAGCTGCTGATTTGTCTTAAACAGTTAAACTAAGATCAACACGTGTTCTCGGCCACAGAACATTTGCCTCATGGAGCTCAACGTTGGAACAAAAACGAGGTGTACCTTGTTGTGATGTGAGACATGTTTGGTAACTGAGGAGGAGCTGCCTTACTGGCATCTTGAGCATGAAGTCCTCCTGGCTGAAGCGGAAACCAATGTCAGTAACAGTACGGTGGAAGAAGCTGGTGGGTCGGAGCACCAAAACCAGGTGGAGATTCCCGGGAAAGGAAGCCTTGACGAGGGGGAGAAGAGGTTCACTGTTACACTGGTGTTGCTGCATGCTGAGGGCGATTCTGCATAAAACAATAACTTTGCATTTCATCTCACTTTAGTGCACAGAACAAACAATGTGCACTTTTCCAGCATCTGCATGTTTACACAGTGTAAACAGACCTGTTCTCCTACATGCATGAAAAAAGTATTTACACGCTCTCATCCTCCATGTCTGACAGGAGACACTTTAGGTCTGTCACTCAGTCGATTACTGTCAGCCTAACGGATTCAAGGTTCAGTTGCTACACGACTCACACACATCATATGGTGCATTTCATCTTCAGGTTGTTTGAGGTCATTGCCTGACATTGTGGGAATTTCTAGTCATCATCTATATTAAGACACAGCTGCTATCACAACAGAATACACCTATAGGGAGGCCTAATGGGAGGTGTGGTGAGAACAGTAAATAATGACTGTGACATGTATAACTGTCCCCAAGTAAATGTTATCATAGTCTTCAACAAGTACTTGGACATTAACATCATGCAGGTACAAGTGATGCAGGCCAGGTCTGCAGCAGCAGCAGGATGTATGAAGTATATATATGAAACTATGAATGCATACAGAGTCCGTGTCGCTATTTTTATCATTTGCAGGTGACGCAACTTCTGACATTCATTTGTCCTGACTCAACCCTCCGATTTCCAGATAAACATGCATCCAGGAGTCATCAGTCTGACTACAGAGGGTTTCCTTCAGGTCTCTCACACACGCACATCACAGCCAACTGCATGACTAAGCACAAGTGCGCTCTGCTGGGCACCGCAGTGCTGCGCTCTCCGGCAGACACAGCCGCCGCCACTGCCGCATTCAGCCAGCCCGCCCAAAAGGAAAAAAAGAAAAAAAAACTTCCCCACAAACTCTTCAGACGACTGTATTAAAACAAGCGAGCAGCTCGTTACCGGGCTCCTCCGGATCTTCGGCATTCTTCGCCGGTAAAAGCAATCAGCCATGGTGTTGGAAGCCATCTCGGTTAAATGTAAGTTCCCGCCCGGCTGTTACAGAATTGGGTGCGGAGCTGAGGTGTGCAGCTCCCTCCGGCTGCCTGACCACAGCCGCAGCGCTGCTGCTGCTGCTGCTGCCTGCTGCTGCCTCTCAGACGGAGGGTGGCAGCGCTCACTGCAATGTCTCCTCCTCACCCTCTCCTCACCCTCTCCTCTCCTCAGCACCCCGCGTCATCACACACTTTTTGCTTACTCATACATTTGCAGCAATATGCAATGGGACATTCAGTACAGACACAATGTGTAGGGTCCTCCTCAAACTGTGCACCCTTTCAAAGTATGTACCAAGCTGGGACAGACCTTTAATATGATGCAACAATACATTTTTTTACATTTTCGGGTGGTGGCAGGGTTTTTGCTCAGGTTTTCAGCACCATGGACAGCAGCTCATAAATAAATCAGTAGCCTTTAGGCACACAGTGCGGCTCACAAGCAGCGTGGAAAAGCTGTTTGTCATCTGCATGCTGTCTAAACTGCTTAGTGACACCATTTGTGAGGTAAAAATGGACCTCATGGAAAAGAAACTTACTGCTATCCTGGCAAGAGCAGTCTTGATAGATGCCCATGTATCCAGTCTTCGGTCTAAAATGATGATGAATTTAACTCCGGGTTGCCTCGTTCTGCAAAAGCAAAAATAGGGATTTGTCAAAATCTGTGCTGTTGTTTAGGATTCAGTGCTTCAGTGCTTTCAGACACAATGATAAGAGCCTATATATAGGTTTAATCATACGTACAAATCCCAGATCAAAACACCTATATATGTTTTATCCCCACATAAATGGATTCATGCATCATTCACTGTCTCTTCAAGGGAAAAGGCCCTTCGGTTGTTTCCAATCTGAGCTTCCCTAATCTCCTGGGACGCTGAGGTTTGGACGTAGGGGACATAGGTAGGACATTTGATCCTGAGCTGAGAGGCAGTGAATGCCAGACCAGCTGTGCTCAGAATACAAGCACCCAGCTTTTTGGTGCACTGCAGAAAGGGAGAGACTAACGTGAGAATAAATGAGGGAGGACACACCGAGGGATGAGAGTGAGGTATGTAAAGACTTTGGTTAAAGCTTCCTCTGGAATGTCACTGAAAGCTGAGCATTCTGGGAGGGTGATGATGACACTGGAGTCTTCCCCTCGGCCCCCTAGAATATAAACATATGGGCGATTACTTATTTTAAAAGACATGAGATGCATAGGTCTTAGGAAATGGTTACATTAGAAAAAAAGAGCTCACCTGACAGGTATGCCACTTGTTTTTCTATATAGCCTCCCACCTCCTTCATGCTCACAGGGACAGTCACCTCTGGAAGACAACAAGATGTTTAAATTTAGAGATCCATGGGTGCAGAGTGGTGTTTAGATTAGCACATCTTGTGTTGTTGTTACCTCCACATTTAACAACTTACATTTTCAGCCACGTGTAAAACCCACAATACAAATTTTGCACATCTTTTAACTGATTATCATTTTAGAGACCTTTCCACCTCAGCAACAACAACCTTTTTATCAATAAAAAAAAAGAGAGAAACTAGTTGACTGAAGCTCTTCCAGCCTGGACATTGCTGTACATTTTGCATTGCTGTGACAAATGCCTGCATATGGCGGTGCATGTAAGACAATTCCACCATTAAAACACATTAGCTCATTTGCTGCACAGCATCTGAATGGATGTTAGAGTCGGGTTAAGATGGCCATCTTCTCATGCTCAGTGCCATTAGTGTTCTTGTCTGAGTAGCCGATAAATGCAGTCTCCTACATGTGAGATTAGAGGCTTGCATCTGCCCATTGATGCACCACAAATAATTCAGCCGGATGTAGAAAGTAGACACACTGCTGGGCACCATGTTGTAACATATGCTCACATTGTATTTACACAATAACTGATGCATGCAATGGGTGATCTCATTTATAGTGAGGGTTAATGACCTTTCAGTTATGGACCAGGCTCTTTTGAAATCTATTGTGGGACATCTTAAATGTTTTCTGCTCCTTTTCAGCAGTTCATGCAACAGGTCACAGAGGCAGCGAATCTGCTCACAATTCAGCATTTCTTCATCCATAATAGATATAGACATAAAAAATTAACCAGAGCACAGAGATAGAAAAACGCAGTCAGAAAAAGATGAAAGGAGGCAAAAGAATGAGAAGAAGGAGGCGCAAAGGAGGTGTTATTTTCCATGAAGTAACAGTGTCCGTGAGGCTGTAATGAGCTCGACTGGTACCTGCTGAATATTTGATGCATGTCTGTAACAGAGAGGGGCCGAGCCAAGCTGAGCCAATGGCTGGACTGTGCGCACATGTAGGCAGGATAAAGTTACTGTCAGACTTGAATAGTTACATAATCCCCCATGCCCGGTGCCACAAGACATTCAGGATGTTGGGACTGCTTTTAAATGACATAATGATGTGTTGAAGTGCATCTTCAATTGGGATAGCTGCAACACATGGAATAGTGTGTGAGCTAGAAGAGTGTGTGATTTGTAGGTAATGTAAATGTTTAAAGTGTTTAATGTAAGCCACCATGAATAGAATAAGCAAACTATTTTAACTGCAATGATGTTTTATATCAACAAAATCAGCCCAGAACACAGACGTGCAAACACACACAACACACACTCACACTGCGGACCTCTACTGTATTTGATCAAAGGAAGAGTTGCCTGTGCTGCAGTGTGCTTAATAAACTTGCCAGGTTTTTGGAAACACTCTACTCCCTCTTGGCCCTGCTAGACTACCAGCCCATCCTGTGATTCAATGCATTTAACGCTGCCAATAAAATTGGGCAGCGTGAATAAGGTCTCGTGCCTGGCCGTGCACCACTTAAGAAAAAAATATAAAGCATAACTAATTTATATGCACATATCAGCACGTCTGTTTCAGCACCTAAAGTTCATGCAAGACTCTATTTATGAATAAACAAAACCCCAGTCTGCTTCTTCGATGCCATTACTGGGGAATAGCATGTTTCTCTTTGCGTCGTGACCTCTCCAGGTGACATGAAAGATAGCGTGCACAGACCAAACAACCTCTGTTTGCTCTTGTGTTCTTACACACAGAGGAAGAGGAATGTTTGACAGTGTGGACGGAAACAGAGATTTGCTGCCAGTCAAGAGACTCAATCCTTTCGATCTGAATACAAAGCTGAAGGCAGGAAGCTTATCTCTGTTGTCCAAACAGTGATGAATATCTACAGTGATTTCATTACACATGACTACTATAAAATGCAGTCAACCCCATTGTACTTTTTTTTTTATGCCGGATTCTTTTATGACGCTGAATCACAAGGAATTTCATTTGTTTTTTTTGACGGTGAACAATGGAGGAAAATGCCAACGTGAGAACAGATCTCTACAAACTATGGGGTGTGTACGAGAACTCGCCTTTGGTAGGCACCAGAAGATGTAATTATTAACAGGCTAACAAACTACTGAACCCAACAGGCTGTTCTGAACGTCTGCTTTAATATCAACTAAAGTGTTCTGTGTTTTAGCATTTTGTCTTTTTAGGAGTGACTCATGTAGGAAAGAATTTAATTTCTTCCTAGTCGATTGTACAGCGCCACTTCTCACTCACATAGTAAATTTCAATGAAACATAAAAACAGGCTGGTTCAGATGAGGAGTAAACAAACACACTGATGCTGCACAGTCTGATATTTTAGATACCAAAAAAAGCAGACACATGTAATCTCTTCGCAGAACAAGAAATCCCCTCTTACACATACAAACATGTTCATAGCACACAGGGGCCTAGCCTCATACTGCTTTTAGGTCATGAGATATTTTGCTAAATGAAGCTTTAAATGCTCAGAGGATTAGACCGGTGGGTGGCTGCATTCTGATAGAAAAGGGGAGAAGAAAATTGTGTATTCTACCCGCTGGGACACACGAGAACTGGATTGGTTTTGTAGAGGCACAAATGGTGAATCCTGCACGATAGTCCTGCAAGGCTTTAGTTAGACAAAGTTGATGCCTTTAATATTTATTTTCTTAAGCGTCTGTGACCTGTGCCAAATACCTCTGAGTATTTTGCGAGGATTACACTGTAACTGTATTTATTTCAGCCAGTTCTTCGGCTGATATTTGGTGTTATTTTATGTAGTATTTTAGATAAAGTGCGGATTCAAGAATATGTTACATTTCCTGTGCTGTGGGCTGTTGGTCTTTGGAGTGATTTATTATGATTCACATGTTTTCCTGTCACTTAATATCATACTCTTCGGTGTCTACCGTAGAACTGCAGACACGTTTCGGTAGTGAAATTTCTCCTGTCTCTCTGTGCTCATATCCTGTGAAATCACAGGTTCAAACATGGCGAAATGTCAAAAAATTCTAATTGCGTGTGTCAGGTTGTGTGGGAGTTGGAGACTGAGTCGAGGCACTTAAAGTGGTTCAGGTGTCAGTTGAAAGGGCGCAAAGTGTCAGCTGAAGTTCAGGCTCTGAGAAGAGTTGGTGTCATTTGTGGAAGCATTTGAATTTTTCAGTTTTGTCAAAGTTGAAATGTCAACATCAGAAATGTCAGTTAATGCTTAAGCACGAAAAGGCTTTAAAGTGTCATTTAAAGAGATGGAAGATGATTTATTTTACACTGTATTCCCAGGAGAGTACAGTCTTGCTCTGGGTGTTGTCCAGCAACAGAGTCATGAGATTTGGTGTCATAGGTTTTGTGGAAATTGTAGATTTATTTGGAAATCCTCCTTTTTTCTTCTTCTTTTTTTTCAATAGCTCAAGGCGAACTCACTTATGGAAAGTAAAGTAGAACAGTAGTGACTCAGTCAAAGAAGGGAGAGAGCAATAGGTGAGTTGTGTAAAGGTAAATGCTGTTACTCAAAACATAAATGATAAGTTTCATCCAGCAGTGTAGTCTTATGTACGCTCTTCACTGCATCCCCTGTGAGCAGATTAGAGTAAATCCAGGGTGTAAGGTTTGTATTTCACACAGGGGAAAAAAAAATGGAAAAAAAAACTTCACTAGGTACAAAAAGAAACTCAGCATGATTCTTTCCCTGCTGTCCCAGTTACCTCCACACGACACACCAGGTACAATGAACCCACAGGAGACATAAAGAAGGAGCAATTCATCAGTTAAGCAATAACTCAAGGCTGCCAAGATCCCAAAGTAATCACATTATCCTCCATAGGAAGCTGCTCTACTCACATCACTCACATCAAGCACTATTTCTGTCCATCAGCTTTCCTTCTTTCTCCTCTTTTTAAGTCATTTACAAAATACTACTTCAACATGATAACTTATGTGAGGAAAATCTTGTTTTGGATGTTTTTTTAATGTTAAAAAATTACAATTTTTTTTAATCAAAAAGAAACAACATCACATTTTGTTTCCCCTTTTCTACACTAAATGTGACAAAGAGCACCATATCTAACACCTGCACTAAGTGACAGTTTATACGCCTTTTGTAGCTCAATACATGACAGAACAACATATAAGCTGCATTATATACTTTTAGTTTAGCGTTTTGTTCCATCACTGTCTGACTGTGATCTAAAACCCAGATAATGACGGTACAAATCATAACGATGAATAAATATCTATCCATCTGTGATGGCTCAAAATAGCTGACATAATCCCTGCAATAGCCCAAAGCTGGACCGAAGCTGCCGGAACTGGCACATCAATAATACTGACTGACTGACCTAAGACACATTACAGGGTGCAGTTCTCCAGCTCCTTATAGTAATGGTTCTCAGAAGTTGCAAATGTACATTGTAAATCAAACCAAACAGCCCTCTGCTACAGTACATTTCAGTTTGCTGCACTGTGCTGACAAGAGCAATGTGATATGTAGTAATGGGGAATAGTTTCAGAGCAGATAAAGGATTATATTCAAAAGCTTGGTAGTGGCTGCCATAAGATATAGGACTGTCAGCATCATGTGTACTCACGCTGCAGAGTGCTCTCAAGCTGGGAGCCAGCCTGCAGAAGGCAGTGGTAGCTCTCCATCTCTTCCTTGGACTCTTTCCCCGGCTCTCTCTCCTCCTGCAGTGAGGCCGGGCCCATTCCCTTAGTCTCTGACACAGGATCAGGCTGGGAGAACTGACGCTGTCGTGGGAGGTCTTTCCAGTAGTCCAGGCCTCACATCCTCTTCAGAGTCCGAAGCCCTCCATAGTGGGAGTTTATTACAAGCTATAGAAGCCACAACAAGGAAAGTTAGGCCCACCTGCCTCTGCGGGTCCCAAGATCCGGATGAGATAGCTCCCTGAGGCTGCTGCTGCTGGCTCTTCCTGACCTTGAGCTGCATAGAGTGCCTCCACACTGAGCAGCACAGCGACAACAGAAGGCCTGTCCACATAGACAGAACACAGTAGTTTGCTGTCCTGTTGTGTCCCAGACCGGGTGTGATGTGTTTTTCCCCCTCATACACACCAGTGCCGACAGCCTGTCCTGCTCTCAGCAGCAGTCAGCTACTTCAAAACAAACAGAGCTCCATCTGGCCACTGCTGTCTCTTTCCCCTCCCTCTCTCTCCCTTCCTCCCTCCCTCTCTCCCTCCCTCTCTCCCTCTCCCTCTCCCTGAGCTTTAGTGCGTCAGCTCTGCGCTGTGCAGAGCTCAAGAGTCTGCTCCTGACACATGGCCAACTCCCTCCCAACTTTTCCTCTCACTTCACACTCCTTCGTGCTCCTTTTAGCTATTTTATGCCTTCAGTGCGACACTGACTGTACAACAGTGGGCTGGACTGTTAGGCTGTCTGGCTGACATGTTCATCAACCCTCTTTCATTTTCCTGCTTCACTATAATATAGATGCACACACAGTGGAGAATAGATCTATTGTTTAAAAAAAAAAATCTACCACACCCTCTGCCAACAAGTTTGGCCCATGTGAAACACAGCCTTTAATACACAACAATCACATTCAAACCCAAGGACAAATATGAAAGGCTGTCATTGTGTACATACTGTTGCACAGAGCCTCTCTCAACTCAGCTCCCCGCTACTCAGCCCACAACTCCTCTGAATGGATGTCAGCCCGTTAACACAGCAGACTAGAGCGGTAAGAGCGCATGTGTATATACAGTACATGTATGTAAATCTCTTCTGACTCTCACTGCTTGATGTTTTCCTCATGTGAGGCCACACATGAAGCAGTGTGAGAGCAGCCGTACACCGACCTCATACGCAGCCACTCAGCTGATCCAGCTTAGCCTCTCAGCCATCTCATTACTGCACAGCATCTGCTTAGGGTGGTTAAACTCACACAAACACACCACACACACACGCACACACAACACACACACATCTTTACAGACAGAACCTGCTGACACACTGCTGGTGTAAACAAAACACAAGGCACTTTGTTTATCTTCAAAACATTCTGTTTTATTACAGAAAATCTTCAGGTTTTGAATATACTAGTTTCAAAGAGGTACATTCAGCTTAGAGGTTTGGAGTGTTGAAGCTGGAGACCCAAAGGGCTGTAGGTGGAGTGTCCCTGCTGTACGACTGAAGGTGTCCACCTCCGCCCAATCACAGCCAGGGCCACAGTCCACAACCACAGAGCCTCTCGTGCTTTTTTTTTTTTTTTTTTTTTTAAATTTTGATTTGATTTTCTTAAAAAAAAGTGGCTGGAAAAAGGTTGCATTAAAAATACAATCCATTCTTTTTTTAACTCTTCATTTAGACAGGCAAAACATTAGATTCAAACATATTCTAAGCTCTGAAAATAGCATTTCTGATGTCACTTTAAAGGTTTTTCATTTGTTAACAAAGCAGGCAGTCCCTCTCAGTGCGTCCCCCCCGTATCTCCGGCACAGTGCAGTCTGGAGGCGACATGTCACAGAGTAAATACAAAAAACAACTTCCTCCCCTTTCCTAGATGGTCTTAGTAGGAAATAATGCAGAAAGGCATGTATATTTTTGTGAGAATAGCATTTTAAAAACCTCCAATTGGCATTATGACTACATATGCCATTCTACAGATGCACTGTATTACACTGCCTGTCTTTGTACATATGACAAAGAACATCAAATGGGATTGGCGTGGGCTCACATCAGGGCTGGAGTAAAACAGGCTAACTCAACTGGCACAAAGCTGAACACTCTCCACAATAAAAAAGATTTATGTAATAAAAATATAACATTTGTGAGTAAAATTACACTTAACAATAAATATGCTGAGTAGACAATATATGTTCGTGGAAAAAAAGAAAAGAAAAAGGAAACAAAATATTCCAAAACAGTATCTAAAAAGTGTTTGTAATCATGAAATGTTTAAATGGAATGTATGAAGCACTACACACAAAGAAGGAAGGAAGGAAGGAAGAACAGGCCAAACAGTTCGCTCTATCACCCTGTTTGTCAGCAGATCTGACAAACGCAGCAAAGACGAGTGTCACAGTGGCTTTAACTACGCTGACTCTGCAGATCTGGAGTTGGTTTCTTCACATTCCAACTTCTGCTTGACTGAGACGAAACACGCAAGCTAGATAATGGGTGATGAATATAAATACCTCATTTAGGCTTTAGTGCATGTGTGCATATAAGTGTACAACATGTGTGGTTATTGTGTGGTGTCGTCCATCTGATATGTGTGTGTGTGCTCAGGCATGTATTCATGTGCCTTACTGACCATCTATGCAATGACGGAACCAGTTTCCTTAATAGTGCAGGAGATGTCTAACCGAACTACATCAACAAGGTTCAAGTAATCCTGGTTTTCATCACACACGCAGGCATTTGTGGCTATTCTCATCCAGTACATCTGCACGCACTTACGCACACAGACAAACACATGCGCACACCGATTTGTCGCTTTCAGGTCACACGAGTGTGGACAGAATCTGATCGTTCATCTTTTTTTTTTGGCTTTGAGCAGATGCTAACATACATCTATGAGCTATATACAGTACAGCACATATATATATTAATTTTCTCATTTTAATTGGACACTCTTAAATTATCTCTGAGGTTGGAGAATTTAGGTCATGCTCCAAGCAATGTTTCATTGCCAAAATACGCTTCACATCTCTAATCTATTTCTCAACCGTACACACACACACTTTTTGGACTGAGTGGTAATATGGCCTCCATTAACCCCTCCTATAACATAGCATTCAACAGAAACTGCAGATTCATCCATAGAAACAAATAATCGAATGAACAGTCTGTTTGCTGCTCTGAGCTGGACATTCAGTAACTCGGATCTGTTGATGAGGGTATTTTTCTAAAACATACAATAACTATTTAAAGGATAACCGTTGAAAAATCGTAGTAACTGTAAAGTAGAATAACTTCTTAAAGTATAACCGCTGCGGATATATTAAAAAAAGTTTGCAGAATACAGTGACTGATCATCAGTGGAGTGAAGTGTTCTTTTTGAGCCTTCTTTCATGCAGATGTACCATTCTTGGAGTGGATATTACAACTGCTCGTTGAAACACAGCAGTTGAATAGAGCTACTGACAAGGCAGCCATGTATGCATTCATTTGTAAGCTAGTATTAAAAAAAGTGAAAGAAAGAAAAGTCATGCCTGTCATCTGAGTAGATATTTTATAAAATAATGCAGGGCACTGCTCTGCAGGCATGCGTGTGGGGGTGGGAGGTTTGGGAATGGGCAGAGAAGGACGGAGAAGAGACACGCAAGTCAAAAGACTGCTAAACCACTTTTCATTCCCTCCCCTCCCTTCAGTCTCTCTTCATTCTTTGTTTTCTTTGATTTTTTTTCTCCTTCACTTCTCCTTTTGCTTTCAGATGGCAGACAGCTCTGACCGGAACGGGACCTGAATGAGGCTGATGTCACTGTTGTTGTGAGTCCTTGCGGCCTTTTTACTGGCGCTCCTTCAGGTGCTTGTAGGATAGTGGTGTGACAGCTGCGATCTGGAAAGGCAACAAGCAAAGAGGCTTTACTTTATGCTTTCATTATGAACTTGTGCCAACAAGAGGAAGCGGACGCGACACCTTGGAATCACCCCAATCAATCAGAGAATAAGCAGTGATTGGCCACATGAAAGTCACCATAATTACACCTTCCCCTCCACCAGACAAACACTAATCATGTAGCAAAGGAAATGATTCCAATTTCATCCAAGTCTACTGATCTGCTGAAGTGTTAGAGAATCGCAGAAAGTTAGATTGGTCTCTTTAGTTTACCTGGATGTTTGTTGGAGGCCACCATCTGACAGCTACAGGGGGAATAGAAATGTAGGTTAAACAGTGAAAGCTGTTGCAAAAAAGCTTTGTGCTACTGTAAGGCAATCAGTGACCCTGATCAACACTGATGGAAGGTGGCACATTCAATTGTACGTTCAGAGGGGCGGACAAAAAAAAATAAAAAAAATGAAAACACCTAAGGACATATAACACAATCTCACAACACAATGTGAGGTGTAGAGATGTCATTCCACCTCAGAACTTTGCTCCACTTGTTCATGGAACAAAGTGTTTTCATTATTTCATTATTGTTATTTACCAACAAAGACCAAATTTGCTACATAGACACTACAATATCATATCATATCATATATTAGTATATATATTAATTTGTGAAAGAGAACTTTTTGTTGCTGTTGTTGCTGTTTTTTTTCTTCAGCAGGATGAAGTAACATCTGATAATTAGGAGTTCAATTTCTATTAGTACAATAGTATTGTAGTCTGTCACAGTTTCAAGATATATATTTCATATCTTGGCTGTACTGATCCATACAGTTTTATTGTGTAATTAATATTGAACATTCTTCCTGTATTTAAATATAATAACATTTTCTACATATTATCCACTTGGTTTCATTATTTTCTTGTCTACCCCCCGTAATGAAGCAGTATTTGGGCTGAGGTTACATCAACATCACATCATGCACTGAGTCAAGCACTGCACTGACAAAATGCATCCATTATTTGCCAAGACAGTAAGCAGACAGCAAAACCACCAACACAAGTTTGGATGTGTGCACAGGAGGACACGACTATTAACCAAACCACCACGTCACAAACAGCACATGTATGTCAGACAATGAAGAAGCAATAAACACAGACCAGCTCTGTTGTTTCACACTGCGAGAGACGACAAAAACCGACACCGACGCCTCACACTCAGACACTCCTTGTCCAAAAATGAGATGGACTGAAATTAAAAAACATTTAAAACTGGGTTTCAGAAGCACATGCAGAAGATGATATAAGCTGGGCTTCCAAAGGAAGGCTGAAAGGAGCACGTGTCTACAAAAACCAAAACATTGTAGGATTTGTAGTATTAAGCCATTGGATGCATTCATATGTTGAAAAAATGCACCACTTGATCATTTTACCAAAAATGCTGACACAAAACAAGAGATATGGAAAAAGTGCATCTCTTCAGCCAGCCAATATCAGCTTACACAACACATAAGAAAACACCGGGTCCTATTGAATATAGCCTGTATGCTAGTATGTCCTTGACTTCCTTGTTAAAAGTTAGACCAAGAATAGCTGGAGAGGTTGACTGGGGGAGTGAGTCATTGATTGGTTTAAACGGCCTGAAGGTGGGCTAGTACCTGTTTAAATGACAGTATTGGACTCATCTGAAAAGGTTCTCATGAGCAGGGGCCTGGCTGAAGACCGGGGAGACTGGAGGCCCCCAGCGCTCGACTGAGCCAGGTTCTTCTAGAAAGGTGAGGCAAGAGACACCAGTGACGTCACTACGCTGACAAACACACACACACACACACACTGCGTCTCTCTCTGCATCTTGTGCTCTCTTCTTGCACACAGACATTGATATACACAAACAACAAACATATACATTCACAAAGACTTCAAAAGAGGACAGGTGGACAATGAAAATCAGTCCAGGTGCCATTTTAAACACCTTTTCCTCGTGATAATAAGTTTCAGAGGCCTGGACTCTTCAATAGCTCCAGAATATACAGGGCTACTATCCTTGCACATTTCTCAAAAGGATGTATGAAATAAAACACACACACGCACACACACACACACACAGACAAAATGCAGTGGCCTGCAGGGATTGCGTTGAGGATCCAGGATGAGGTTGTGGACTTGAGCCTCATGCAGGTAACGTTTGGGTGCTTTGACGTGCTGCGGTCACCTGACTGGACATGCGGAGGCAGCAGGCATTGGAGCAGCACAGGCAGCTGGGAGGAAACACTGACTGATACAACTAGACAGACAAGGATGGAAGACTGACTGCACGCTTTTAGCACAGACACCCTGTCCTACTCCACACTGCTGGTACAGCTGGGCGCACGCCATTCCTCCCAGTTTAACAAACAGATCTAAATAAAAGCACTTGTGTCAAAGTTTAAAATGGGGCCTTCCAAGGATAGCATTCCTGAGGTCGTAAACTGAATTGTCTAACCTAATCTGTCCAACCAAGGGGGACTATAAAACTCTACAAAACAGCAGCCCGAGTTACTTTATAGGGTAAGGAAGGAATCTCACAGTGGGAGAGGAAGGACACAACAAGTAGGAAACAAGCAAGTCTGGCAGACAGAGAGATTCTGCAGGAAGAGACTTAAGTATAAGTGGTGACAGAAAGAAAAAGAGACCTCAGTCACTCCATGAGAAGCTGTGAGTGCTAGCGGTCTGTGACAACATGAAGATAGTAGATGTCCCCGAGGAAGGAAGGCGATGTTTCATCTTTAGGGAGGACAGTCCAGAGAGGAAGACAGAAAAAAAATAAGAAGGTGAGATCGATAAGAAGAATGTGTTAAAGTGCAAACGCAACAGTACCAGTTGGAAAAAACAAAGTTGAAAAGGTGGAAAATGGGCAAAAATAAGGTTGCGATGTATTCTAAAATAAAATGGTTCATTGTCTAAAAGTTACACTATGACACTCATTCTAATGACTTTCATTTCAATCTGTAGTCAAGATTTATAACCACTTACAAAAAATCTAAACAATGACATATGTACATTCTTTTGATTCTGCCACTTCTGGAACTTACACAAAACAAATGTAAATCATATTTATTGTAATAAGTATTTGTTGCTCAAATCTGCAAGCTGCTTGGCTCTAATCCAATATGTGCAAAAACATTCAGTTTAGTTTATTAACTTTCACCAAACAAAACAAGTCTAGACACAATCCAAAAAAAAAGATTGTGGGGATACACCCAAAAGCACACGCATACCACCAAACATTTCCAGCTGCTTGGAAAAGAAATTAGCCTCATGAGGAGGCAAACTGAAATGACAAAACATGTGTGAGAAAGTCTTCTGGGGGAAATGGGAGTTGTATCAAACAAAGCATTATGTATTATATGTACCTAATTTTAAAGACGCAGCAAAATTTAAAATGACTAAATCTCTATCACTGTTTCAATAATTCTATTAACTCTTAAAATGCCAAAAGTAAAAGGAAAAATCTTGGAGCACGGTTTGATAACTCATCTTTAGCTTGTGTGCATAGAAACCTTTGTGATTAAGGCGTCTAACGAACTGAACCCAGTGTATAAAACAGCACTGGACCAATATTTCATGCATCAGAGTAGCTAGCAGAGGGTTGTAATGGAGCAGACGGGTATGTTTGGTTGCTATAAAAAGTCTTTGTACCATTTCCAAAGAATGTGAGCTGGAATTTTTTCTCCCATGTCTCTGGCCTCATGAACTAACCCCACAGGTAAAGCAGGTGTGACTGGAGGCCAACTGCTTGTCTTAACTCCATATTTACAAAACCACACCCATTTTAGAGTAACAACTGAAGGCTTTGATTTAAATTTTTCACATAACTGTAACAAATCAACCTATTTCAATTCACTCTGGAAAACACATTATGGAGAGTAACGACAACTGAACCCTTAAAAAGAAACAAATAGTTAAGTTGTCACAACAAATATGTGTAAAGTTGCATCATACATCGAAGAGAAATAGTGAGGGCGAAGGCAGAGCGAAGGTAGAGTAGATAGGTGACTGTGCTTGTGTGCTTCGGCTCTACCTGTCGAGCGTGGGGGCCGCGTGGCTTGCGGAACACCACAAGCAGGATCTCTGGCAGTAGGCTGAGCAGGATGAGCAGGATGATGACCAGCCAGGCTGACACCGAGCTCAGCATGTTGGCAAACACAAAGTACAAACGCTGCTGCCTCAGGAAAGGCCTGCAGGACACGCAGGAGAGGCAACACTTCAGTTTACATTGTTAGGAAGAGCTACCGGGTTTGAAGAGTAATGAAAAATATTAAAGGTCAACTACAATGACTAAGATAAGTTATTTAATCCTGAATGGGTTTCTAACCATATTATTCCTCCCCAGAAGAAGCTGAAAAACACGTAGAAGGCCAGCGAACCCCAGATGACAAAGTGGTTGATCCATGTCCAATGCCGTGTGTCCAAAGCAAGCTAGAACGGTGGAGAAGATGAACGTCAAACATGTGAAACAATCTGCAAAACATAAAACACACCCTTTCATAATATGAGATAGATAAACGGGAGGGGGGAAGCTTACCTTTAGCGTTACAGTGAAGACGAGAACAGTGAATACAATCGTTCCGTATGACCAGTTCCCAAAAACCTGTATTCAAATAAGACAAATGAGAAAATGTTGTTAGGAGGTAATGCTTAATCATGCAAATCAATCCTGCTCATTTAGAAGATGACTGAAATCAAACCTGGCCATTATCCTGCAGGGCTGGGTTACTGAACAAATATCGAACACCAAAGAAGAAGAGCAAGCCGTGGAAGACTCCGAGTAACGTCCAGTAGAGGAATGGTCCCCACCGTAGCATACCGTTCTTAGCGATCTCTCTAAAGAAAAACACGAAAGAGGAAGATGAACCTCTTTTTTTTAATGCCTCAATAATGAAAATAAAAAACATAACATATTTGAATGAATACAAACAGCTCTTTCTAAATAAAAATAAAACAAAATAAAAAAACTAAAACTTACACTCGTATAGTGTTTAATGTAAAGTTAAATGTCTTAAGTGTTAGGATCATATATTTTATATTCATGTTTTGATTATCTCTTATTATTATCTTAATCTCTTATTATTATCTTAAGGCATAATCAACATAACTTTTAAACAATTGCAGCATGAGAAAACGTAGGTAGAAACAGGATTTGGTGGTTTGTGTATGTCTTTCTCTGTCACAAGCAGATATTTGCAGGAGGGAGAAACTGAGGGTGCTTAACAGTTGGGTGCTAAGTGGCAAGTTTCAGCACCTACAAGATGGTGGAAGAAGGCCCAAAGACAGGGAGGAGCCAATCAGCTAGCTGCAACACATTCTGTGCACATTCTCATGTAATAGTACAAGTACACTGGATCAGGGAGAGGCAGTCAGTCAGACTTGGTGCCCTGACATTAACTCTGTTAGCGCTAGGGTGAGAAGTTTGATCCAGAGTTCTGTATGCTTATTCAACTATCTGATAAATAAATACACTGAGTGAGAACTAAATATCTTCTCCTATTGCTTCATTAAACAAACGCGCAGGAGCTATCTCACACATAGTTTAATTTTTGATAGATATAGATTCAGCTCCAACATGAGCTGCTTCATCATATGAATTAAGTTGGAAAAAATTCTCCTAAAAAGGTATATGTTGCATCAATGGGGAGCACAACACAATTTAACATATGAATGTATGTGTACATAATGCATATAAATATATATATATAGAATGCAGACAAACACATAGAAAGTATACGTATATTGATAAAAGTAAAATCAGTAGCTACTACGGTCCAGGGCCACCTATTACTATTTTGCAGAAATAAAAAAATAAACTTTGGCAGTTGTGAGTTAGAAATGATTGCTGAAAAGTAGTAAGACGGGTCTCATCCTGCACCTGTTTAGTCATTGCTATTATCCATTTTCTGCTAAAAGATTGGCTTTTCAGTCATGAACTGCTCCAAATGGTGATTGTAGATTTAAAACAAAAAGAAGATTGGATTTTCTCTGATTTTTGATCAACGGATGCAGCATAACAGGCACACATTAAGCCACCAATGTGCAGACCAGGGAAAAAAATCCCCATGTTTACCTGTAGAGGGTGGCATTATCCAGCAGAACCTCAATGCAGATGTGCTGCTCCAAAAGGCTGTAAGCCAGGATGGGCATGGAGGTGAAGCAGATGTTGTACATCGTCAGATAGGCCGCATCATACAGGGGCTGGGAAGGATGGGAGCAGGGGGAAGGATTGAAGGGACAGGGGTTGGTAAGGAAGCGGAGGGGGAGGGATAGGGCAACTAGGGGTTAATATCATGGAGAGGACAAAACTCATACACGCCATCATACCGTAAACATACAGCACATCATATAAGCAAGCTTATACAGGTCTTTCATGTACTTATGAAAGATGTATGTCACTGGCCTGCGATGATATCTACAATAATTAATGTTCTAAATGATGGATGTATCCATGTAAGAAGGGATTTCTATCTGATCACAGAACCAGCAAACAAACTGGATACATGCAGCTTTTTTCCCCATTAATAATAAAGTTATGTGTTCCAAACGATACCCAAGACTAAATTTGTACAGTGTGACAACAAACACACATGCCATCCAGATTACATAACATCTATATGCAATGTATAGTGGTGGCAGAACATGACACGCCTTTATTATTTCAACTGTTCTATGTAGTGCAAGTCTGTGTATAAACACATCAGACCACATATCAAACATCCCAAGGGCAGTGAGGCAGGGGCAATCTGAGGGAAAGAAATCTGGAATTCAGGAGGATGAGGAGGTGTAGATTTAAAGGACACTGCCTCCTTTCATGTTCAAAACATCTTTGAACCTCAATGGGATTCAGGACATACTCACTTGCTGAGAGTAGCCGCAGAAGAACTGGTACAAAAACTGCGGTAAGATGAAGCAAAGATTCTGCAGGCGAGAAAAAAAAAAGAAAAAAGGAACAGGCTCACAGTGATGGATAAAATCATCAAAGAACATCAAATGAATTCTTAAGTCCCTGTGTGCTTATAAAGTGAGAACAAAAATGCAATACGTTAACCTGAGTTCAACCTAAAAATCAGTTTAACTTGTTGAGAATAACTCTGTCAAATCTGTATCTGTGCATAACATAATTCCCAAAGCATGTGGATGAGTGAGTTTATTTGGGAAACAAAGGCTTTGATGAAACTCCAAACAACCTCTGAGACTGAAGCAATGTGACATGTGCATTTGTTTCTCCTACCTTGTAAAAGAAATATTGGACGAGGTGTGCAATGCGAACATAGTAGAGATGCCCGTGAGCCAACAAAAGTTTCTTGAGGTGCTTAAGTTTGGGGATGGCATAGTCACTGTTCCTGACCGCCTGCCGGCCCTCTTTACCCTTAATGCCTGAAACACACAGACCAAAAAAAAAATCACACATTTTTTTCACACAAGGCTACATCACTAAAACAGTAATTACAAAGCCCTTAGTCAACTTCAGCATGACGTTTCTTACCAATGCCAACATGAGCTTCCAAAATCATGCTGACATCATTGGCTCCATCTCCAATGGAAAGGGTGATGGGGCTGCCTTTAGAGTTCTTAACCATTTTCACAATCTGTAGATGGAGCGAGATAAAGGGGAAACAATTAAACATCTATAACAAAGTATTGCTGCCACAGTGCACAAAAGATTGGACAGTAAGTCCAATTTATAGGTCAAAGTGTACAAGAAATGTGTTTTGTGATTTAGTCTTTTGTGCTCCCTGGGATCTTTTTGGATCAATATTTGTACTAAACTGTCATATGGAGTTTATCCTAAATTGTTTCATACAACACAAAGTATGCTGCTTATGCTTGCTTATCCATTAATGCAACTGCATGTAGTTCAGACTTGCGCCGTGTTGAATGTGATAGAGAAATGCTGTCAGTACTTTTTTTGACAAGTGACCAGGGTGCCCATTCAGACACTAAGCCAACATGTTCAGATGCCATCAGATTAACAGAGATGAGTGCATGCTTCAAAGGCACTTTCTTTAAAGTACGGTTTCCACAGTTTTTCCTGATTGTTCTGACCTGTGCCTTCTGTAGTGGAGCCATGCGGCAGCAGAGCACTGCTGTGCAGTTTTGACAAATCTGCAGGAAAAGGTTCTTGTAGCGACTTGAGTTGGACTCAGAGGATGAATTAAGTACCATCGACAAAGTGGCTCCATCAATAATAAACCCATAATCCTGGTTGGTCAGAGACCAACTCCTACAACACAGAGAAGAAAAATGGGTGAAAATGTAACTATCGCCAAGATTCAGTTCGATCAAATGATATCCTAGCTAAACTATCACAAAATGATCTCACTACACAGACTAAGATCATGTCAGTCAAGGTACCAACCTGGTGACACCAGCCTTTACTGGTGGAGCGTCCTGCACAGCTTTCTTGTGATACTCAAGCAAGAGTTCATGCAGCCGCTCCTCACGCCTCCTCCCTCCATCCTCTAGAGTACGCACTGTAAGCTCCAACAGCTCTGTGTTCCTCTGGAACAGTCTACAAGCATAGCAAGTGGACTTTGCTGTTTCCATCTTGTCCCCCGTTAGGACCCAAACCTTCATGCCTGCTCCCTGCAGAGCTTCCATGGTCTCTGCTGCCTCCTCTTGAAGCCTGCAGGATACGAACAGAAATTAGACAAGTGAAAGATTATCGTGCCAACTCTGAGGTGTAATTATTATCATTAAGATAAAATAAATAAATAAATAAAATCCAACAGCTGAACAATCACATAGACATCCAGGTTAAACTATAAAGAAATGAAGAGAAACCACCACACAGGATCACAACGCTTTCTATAATGCAGATGAAACTTGAGGATTAGACTTTGCTGAGATACGAGTCAGGAGAGGCTGTGGTCGTAATCGGCACAAATTCACATTGTAATTCATTAAACTTCCAGGTGATGTGGCACTTTATAAGTAAAAGCAGTGGTATATTGAAGTACATATCCTCACAACCAAGTCATTTGACAAGACAATAATAACACTTTGATGTAAATCAATTTATTAGAAACACACTTTAGTTCTAATTGCAATACTTATTTATAAATCTATTCATGGCTGTTTTCAGGAACCTTAGACTGTGGGAGGCTACCTCACCACAAGATGGCAGTGTGAGCTTACAAAAAGAAAAAGAATGGGGCTTTTTGTTGCAATAAATCTAATCAACTAAAATTTGAAAAGCCACTTCATAGTGGACAAAAAAACAAAGCACCAGTAATCTAGTGACATGTGACATAGAAAATCTTCTGCAAAACATCCACAGAAGCAGGAATTCATTCAACAGAGCAACACAGCAAAAAAGGCAGTCAGAACACAGTGGTAGCGTCTTTCTTCCATAAACATAGCAAGTCAGAACAAGAAGTTAATGACACGTTTATTGCAGGCTTCTCCACACTTTTGGCCTCCCTTTTAGTTTCAGGTTCATTATAAGATTTCTTTGTGTAGGGGATTTTTTTTCACCCACTAAACTTCTTGGCAGTTATGTTTAATGGGAGGCAGGGAAACAGAAGCATATAAAAAAAGAAAGACATTCAGCAACTTTCGTCAGTGGTTTCATTAGTGAGAGCTTTACGGTTTTTGTGTATTTGTGTGAGCACCCACCTATCTTCAACAGCAGTAGCTCCAATTAGGCTCATTCCAGTCTCCACTTGATTATAAACAGCCATTAGCTTCTCCTCTCTGTCCTGCAGAGCCAGTCTAGCTTCCCTCAATCCTGCATCTGCCTGGGCATACTCCTCTGCGTTAAGATATTTGTAGGCCACACACAGTGTTCGGTAGCCCTCCTGAACAGTAAAATAGCAAGTAATGTTACAACAACGGAACAACCTGTAATGAAATCGCTACAGCAGTTTGAAATTTGGAAAGAGAAGTTGCTGTTGTCACCCACTGTTGCATTACGCTCCACGTGCATGCGTATCCTTTCAACCTCCTCTTGTCTGACTCGGGGGAAGATGGAAGAGTCTGCTCCCTTACAGAAAAGCAGCGTATCACCTGTGCACAAAGAAAACACACAACCATACAGACACATAATGACATCTGAGGGCCAATAATAAATCACTGTTAATGCAACAAGCCTGACAGTAATCTCAATGTCACCTGATTTGGCTCTGACGATTACACTCATTCGTCTTCGCACTGGGTCAAAGTTCAACACATGAAGCAGTTCGTACCTTTTGAGAGTGCAGGATGGAAATAAAACGAAAGACATGAATAGAAAAACATGACTAAAATCTAAAAACAACTCTGCTTATGCAATTACTGACTTACATTTCCACGTCATTGTTCCTGTTGAGAATTTTCATGGATTTACTTTCAAGACCCAGAAACGTGAAGCCATACCTGCAGAGGGAGACAAATCACTACAAATGTGCCATTTAAATGTGCAAAATGAACAAATGTTCTAAAGAAATGTATACCAGCTGAGATTCTCCAAATACAAATCTGTGATATTCCTATTTAGAATAAATGCTTGTTCCAATTTCACTTCAACTCACTGAGTCATAACAGTCCATTTCCTACCTCATGGCACCCTTGACCAGAGCAACCTCATCAGGTGAAGAGGCAATAAAGCCCCTCTGCTCCTGCGGTGGTTGAAGCACTTCTTCATCTACCCCTAAGCCATCCACCTCGTCTATCCGGCCATCCACTTGACATTCACTCTGCTCTGTAGACTCCTTCACCTGGACTGTGTGGCAGAGGCACAGGGCACGCAGAAACAGCTCTTCCCTCTCCTAAAGACACAACATTGACATGGCTTAACGTAGTGAAACAAGACACAGTAAATGCTGATTATTGCTTACAAATTTGTAAATGAACTATGCTCCCTGAAAGAAATGTACACCACATAAGGGACCACACACAGTAGCTGCAGTTCGGATAACCCCTGAGCTTACAACCATTTGTCTAAATAGACTTCTTATCAACAAGTGGTGAAGTGCAGTCAGTAAAGTGTTATCAGGTGCTCATGTGAGCACACAGCCACTCTTCCCCCGCCTCCACATCAACTGCATATGTTGACATGTCAAGGAGACTGTACGCGGGTGACCTATGAAGGGTCTTTCTGAGCAACGAGCTATGTAATGACCATATGTTAATGCTTGTGTGACTTTTACAACAGATGGAGGGACACCACAACACCCACCCTGCCAGCTTTCTGCTGTAGTTTGCTCACAGGTCCATCTGTGACACAGAATCCGTCCAACTCGGAGCTCGCGTCCCTGTATTTGTACTGGAAGCCGTCAATGCAGCACTCGATGAACTCCATGTTATTCTGAGTGAGGGTGCCCGTCTTGTCCGTGAAGACATACTCCACCTACAGGCAATATGATTTAAAAAAAATAAAATAAATAAAAACATCAGATTTTTTAAAATACATAAAAAATATGTTTACATTTAAAAGATTAAAATTAGGGAATTGTTTCCAGAAACAATTACACTCTATTATTCAGTTGAACAGAGCATCACCTTGAGCAAAGGTAGTTGTCTGGCAAAGCAAGTGTGACTAATCTATTGCAGCACTGTTTGAGTTAGAAATTCCATAAAAACAGGAGACGTCATGACTTATTATTTTAAACAATTCTTTTTACACTAGCACCTAACTTGGTCTCACAAGCAAAATGATTTTTTTTAAAGGTTTGTGATCGTAGCTGTGAACGTGATACACAGTACAACACAGAAGAATTTTTTTTTTTACTTTGCGAAATGCATTAAATATTGACTCTGAATGTATTCGCTCTGAGTGGCTAAAAGTGCTAGTGGTTGTTCCTCACTAATGCATATTATTCACAGACACTGGATATTTACTGTTGAGAATAAGGTTTATATTTTGCCAAATTTTATAATATCATCAGGTTTATTTTCTCAGCTTTTTCAGAGCTACAGAAGACATTACATCACAGTTTTCACAGGCTCGGTCGAGTGTCACTTTATCTTATTTTTCAGTGACTGTAAATATTAATTAAAGGATTACAGGTTTTTAATTAACACACAGAAACCCATAGCTTGAAGAAAGCCTCAGTGAAATACATTTCTACCATTTTAATGCTTCATTTATGGCTGTCCATCTGCCTGACCTGTCCCAGCTCCTCATTAAGGTCCGAAGTGTTGACCAGTGCCCCCTCCTTGATTTCAGGATCAAAGAAATCTTTGTCCCATGTGATGAAAAAGGATCCCAAAAACTTCTGCATCTCAACCGTGACATACATGGACACCGGAATGATGAAGTTGAAGAGCACCATGAAGGACAGGAAGTCAGTGAACATCTTTAGGTACTGGTAGGGGAAAAAAATGAAGACATATTTAAATAAAATCTTTTTCAATAACAACAGGCATGGAAAATTTGCTATCAGGGTGGACGTCACCAAAGGTTGCCTACAATATACTTTGTGTGCACAACCATGAGTACTTCTAGTTTATGCACACAACAAAATAGAAGACATGACAGCAGTCATACTGTTCACAGTTCATTGAGCTCTAGAGCAGAGGGTTAAGAGCCAAAGAAATGGACCATATCACAATCTTGTACTGCAGTGGCCAGTTTGCAGTTTTACTAGCATGGAACAAAAGAGGCAAGAGCTTGTAAAATACTCTAATACTGTGGATGGAGCTGTGCCCTTAAAAGTTACAACTACAAGCCTCTAAGGTTAAATAGTTATTACATTACCAGAAGCTTGCTTTGTACAGTAACACATCACAGATGATTAAATCTAGGACTGTCAGAAAGACCAAAATTTGACAATTCTTTCTGTTTTTACAGTTTCTAGCTCTGAAAAAATATGCCCTTTAGGTGAACTTTTAAAGTTAACGTGCCTTAGAAATCTGCCAGCCCATTTTGAGGTTTAGCGGGTTAATTCAGACAGGCATTTTACCAGTTTTCTAAAATATGAACTCACCAGATTGGTGTCCTTCTCTCTCTGGGTTTTCTCATTATACCAAGGCTCATCCTGTCCGGGCTTGCTCTGCCACACATACTTCAGTGTAGTGCACACTAGAGCTTTGCTCACCAATATGCAAAGGTATACGAGAAGGAATGCATTGATAGACCTGAAAATATAAGAAATTTAATTAATGAGTACCCAAGGTATGCCATGCATTTTAAACTTGCCAGCAAATTTTTCTCTAAACTTACTTCTCCACAGCAGAGCGTTTTTGAGATTTGCCCTGGTAGTTAAGAGCCATCTTTGTCTCCATGCCAGTGTAAACTGCAACACCTTGAGAAAATAAAAAGAAAAGCAGACGGATCAGCGTTTCAGATAATGAGCCCTCTTCAGTAATACACGTTACCGTAATAACAGCAGCATTATTTGACTAACCACAGATCTTCTGAGTATTCTTTAAAGTTGCCCCTTTCAGCAGGAGGTTTTCTGGGCCCAAAGACCTGCAAAATCACATCAGTACATCAAACTGTTTAGTCATACAGAAACTGTGCAAACCACACACTCCTCTATTCTCTAAATGGAAACCTGGCAGGCCAGCTGGCATCCACTCTAAAATACGCAGTGACAGTACACAGTACGACTGCAGTCTGGGCTTACACCGATCCCAGTGTTCTTGAGAAGGACACTGGCATTTGTTTATGTGACCATTACAAAGCAGTCAATGATAAATGCCTGTGGGAGTGCTTTGGAAGCAGTGGCTAAAGCCCTGCCAGCTGGTTTTAATTTTAATTCTTGTCTGCAATGAAGGATCAATGGAATAATGATTTGTTGGTGATGCAAAGGGAAACAAATGAGTGCTTAAGCAACTGTGTTTTGATTTTGCTCTCACTTAAAGTGGGCTGAGATAGTTGTGCATGAGTGCTCTCACCTCACTGCAGGTTCCTGATTGTTTTTGTAGATGTGCATGCGACCGACAAACCTGGAACAAAAATAACAAAATGCTCAGGAGCTGAAGTCTTTTTGCAAAAAGCACGTGTGATATCTGCTTTGCATATTGCTCAGTGTGTTGTTACTAGAGTGGTTCTGAGCTTGAGTTATCGAGCTCAATCAAGAGTACATTGACTTTATGAGGCAGGTAGTCACTGACCTTAAATCAGCTGCAGAGTGTTAGAAGGACAGGTAATTACTGGTGGTCACACACTGTCATTTTTACTGACTCTGAGTAGCAGATGTTGAACAGCATTCCAATGGCTCACTAAATGACAACATTCCTACTCCTTGCCTGAAGCAAAGGTCGTCTACAGACTATGCTGAGATTCCTACAAGTATATAGGAACTAACTTTTGCCATTCCCAATATGAAACCAGTCAAACATAAGCACGCTAAGGCTTGTCAAAACCTCTCTGCTTCGCGATCTACATGTTATTACAAGAGTCAATTAGAACATTTTCAACTGGCAGCGAGTTAACTCAGTGCAGAACAAACTAAAGGCAACACATGTTTGTAGTGTAAATCTGCTGGGACCACATGATGATTACCTACTTGTAAAGGTCAGGCTGTGGCTGTTCACACTCAATGGTGGCATTGAGAGATTCCAGATCCTTCTCGGTGTCTGGCACTGTGTAGTGTGTCTGGACAAGTGGAAGAGGCAGAGAGAGATAGAGTGTGAGCTGTGACTGACTAGAGTCAAGTGATCATTTTAGCTTCTATTACTTTTCACTCACTGACGGCGCAGGAAATTAGGAGGATAAAAGATACTGAGATACTGTGAAACTGTGAAACACTTGATCACAAATAGGCATAAACACATATTTCTTCTGAACGAGACGAGAGGAACTTGAAGAACTTTTTTCAAAGCAAGGCTGACAGTCAAATAAACAGCGACATATGGAGACGGAAATTCTTCATACTTCTAAACTATATGACTGATCTATCATATATCCAGGCAAGTCAGTGTTTCTCTGGATTCACTTCAGTCCTCCTAATATTAACATCCATACTATTAATAGGAAATAAAATGTGACTAATATAACTTAATGGGAAAAAAGTTCCTCTAAAGCTAAACCCTTTATTAAAACACAAAAAATTATATTTTAACCATTCCGCTAGTAAAAAAAAAAACAAAAAAAAACGGCAGAGAAACGGTTCACCGTACTTTATGGTTGGACTCTCCATCCAGACTTGCTGTGGTAACAAAACACGTGTCATCATCTCGGCTAGATTGCAGCAGTATTAAATCACAGGGAAAGGTCTCATCTTCCTCCACCTCCACAACATCTCCCACCTGAAAAAACACACCAAAAAAAAAATCACTTGTCAAGACAAAGTTTGCTTTCTCCCACTCTTTAGGCACAACATCAAAAGAACTTGGCAGCGTACGAGTGACACACTTCTAAACAATCGCAACTTTAAGCGGTTTTACCACTAGGGAGCAGGAGGACTTTAGCTTTTGTGTATTTAGCAGTAGGAGGTAGCTTACAGATAACTTGTGTGAGCTCCTGTGCAGAGAGCAGCTGTCCACATTTGTATACAAAGCAACCCTGTTTCGGTTGTGACAGCTGGATGTTGATTCTCAGTGGTTTCGGCAGCACTAGCAGCCCTTCAACATAACCTAGATTATTTGTTACACTTCAAATACTGACAAATATTCCTTAATGCATGTTTACCTTTCTGAACAGCCATAAATCTTCAAAAAAAAAATGTGACCAACAGAATTAGATTGCACTACGGAAATAACCTCCACACAATACCAGGGAAATGTTAAGTGTCATTCACACCTATGTTTGAACATCTAATCTGCTCAGTAGAAAGAACACATGCTCCCTTGTGCATATACTCCAAACGCAGTCAGGTCAAGCAGCCAGCAGCCTCTCTCTGGCCATATCACTATGGAATTATTTATTCCAGTTGATCCAAGCTAAAATGGTTAAAAGTTACCTTGATCTTCTCGCTCTCTTTCCGTATCCTCCGGCCGTCCTCCAAAACTGTCACTGGGTACTTATTCACCTCATTGTCTGCCTTGTGCCGTAGCCAGTCCTCATAGCCCTGCAGCAATATATCAAAATCAGAATAGCATTATTTGCTTAGCACAACAAAAAGCACCATCTTTCTCTGTGGCATTAGCACCCATGGGACACTGACAGCTATGACTGTGGCATCAGTACAAACTGACACACAGTAGAGCAGTGGTTGTCAAACTGAGGGGGGAGCCATGAATATTTGTCAGCTTCTCAGTGGGGAGCACGACTGACCACATTTCAAAACACATGCAGTAGAGGTGTAACAGAATTTGTCATAAATCCCAAGGGAAAGACTATAAAATATTAGTGTCTGTGCATAAAATTAATTTTTGCGTTGAGTATTTTCTCATTATGTGTACAAGTGCCTGCAGCAGCAGAATGGGATGGTGATCGTCCAGCAGCGCACTGAAACAGTAAACCATGAAATAATACTGAGTCAGGTTAAAAAAAATATATATATATAATAATTTCTGTGGCTGCAGCAACATAAGGCACAAAATCTAGTGTAGACTTCATAAGTACTTTAAAATAGTGATGGAGATAGGAGATGGTGCAGAGATGCAGAGGGTAAAGAGGGAAACCAGAATGTGTGCCAAGGCTGAGCTTGAGCCAGAAAGCAGGATTACTGTGAAAGGTGATAGGAGGAGAAAGTCTGGTTGAGTGATGCAGAGAAATTATGCCAAGTGGATGAAAGGGGGGACAAAAGGAGGGGAGGCATTCCATGCATGCTTACTTGAACTATACATTTCACCTCAGCCTAACTAACAGAGTCAAACAGACTGCCTTGGTGTCCCACTTCAAAGCCTGGCTAAAGGCTTTCCAGTACTATCAGTGCATCCCATATATTTTCAGAAGGAAGTCCACCCACTATTGTGCATTTCAAAGCCCCAGCAGTCGCCTAACTAAAAAGCCAATCCAAAAACAATACATCTAAAGCTGGGACATGGCAGACATGGAGTCAAAGAAACACACACTCCCCTTGATAATTTGTATCTCTATAATAGACTTGCTCTCTCTCCAATTGCTCACACTCCCCTAGAGCCCATTTCATCTTCGCCCCAATCGGAATTCACCAGCAGAGCACAATAATACAAAACCCAAGAGAGCATTAGTTACGTACTTTACACAAAAATCACAGCAATGGAGTTACAAAGGCGGGGGACTTAAAATGTTATATGAAGAGGGAGGAAGGAAATACTGCAATGAAAGACAGTATGAGGCAATGAGGGCATGGCAATAAAAAAGACAATAAAATGCCTGTTATCAACGTTTATTAGTCTCATTAGGTGATATCTTACCTGCTTAATAGCAGTTACTGTAATCACAAAAAATAAGGGTAGGCCACTGGTGACTGGGCTGGTAGGGGTGTCCACTATCACCTATTGGAGGGAAAAGAGAGTTTTACTTTAAAGACATGCAATGTTAACACTCAACAAAGAACATGACCTTCACATAGAAAAGCCATACGTTAAAATGACCACTACAAAGTCTGACTGCCACATGTTGCTGTGGTTGCTGCAGGAACAGTTGGTGGTAAACATTTAGAAGCTGGGACTGGCCCTCTAAATGCAGGGTGTAGTCTGTTTCTGCGAGGCGTTCCTACAATTTCCCATTTTTGCTCATCAGAAGAAAACACAAGGGAGACATTTACATTTTGGAAGGGAGCAAGTGAGGTTCTGGACCACAGAAGTTTTAATCAAGTGAGCCAGGGACAGAGTGCTTAATCTGCAGGCATGCCAACACTACTGTGCATCTGCCAAGGCATGGGAGAGAGCCAGCAGAAAGCTTTGTCAAACTCACCTTACCTGCCTAAGCTGTGTGCAAGGAAACCTAGAGGTACAATATGTGTGTTGGACTTCAGTCACGTGTATAATAAGAATGTTGGACCAGTGGGTAGGTAATCCCAAACAACCAGTTTAAGAGGAGCACCTGACCAAAGCTCAAAGCTAAAACCTCAGCACACCAATGCCTTTATGTGTTTGTGTGTCCCTTTAAAACCAACAGATGGATTTACCCTGGCGTTTCTGCTCCTGCAGAATGCAGCTTGGTCTCCCCCTGAGCCAGAGTGCATATTACGGCAAGCACAGACACGACGCGACCAGCTCATTGATATTCTCACCAACATTACGAAGTGTCAGATAGACATCAGCTCAACTCAGAGTAGGAGATACGTTTTGATGCAGTCTCTAGTGTTTTCCTCACCTGTGCTTGAACCGAGAAAGAAGCAAACCAGCTGCTCACTCGGCAATCACGGTCAGACATGAACACAGAGCCACATTCTGTACCCATACAAACACCTTCACACAAACACACACTCGCAGAAGGGCAGCGAGGTAGTCGTCTAAACAAGCTTTACTGTGATTACAATTAAAGCGAAGCGAAGCAAAGATGGACTACGGCACATCGACCATTTGGAGAAGTGCAGATACAGAGGAGAGTCTGCATTATATTTGTAGAAACGGGCGATTCCGGTGAGACTGAGCAGAAAGTAATAACGCTGCCGCAGTAGCCTCAGGTGTTGCAAGCCAGAGGTGAGAGTACTCAATGTTTAAAAAGAGCAATGTGCGTACTGTGTTAAAGTCTCTTCAGATCTTGCACATTGCTATAGGCAATGTAGCCAGTGGATTATTGAATACCTCTTGAGAAAAGCTCAGCTTAGCCTGGTCATGTTAGCCGTTCACTGACCGGCATGACCAGACCCTGCAAACAGAACACTTCCCCAAGTATCAACGTGATGAATAATGGAGGAAGCTTGTCTACTTTCCCTTATAATAACTTAATATACTGCATTTTGTGTACACACAACTGGATTTAAACTTGTCTAATAAGAGGAAGAAAAATAGCAACAACAGCAAGGACAGAGAACAGCATGTCCTTGTGATGCAGCAGCCGGATAGCCGAACTTGACGACAAAGGTTGACCACAGCACAGAGAAAAAGATGTACAAAGGCAACTTTTAGCCTAAATGTTGTTTGAGTTTGATTTGTCTTTTTCAACTACTACTACTAAAAAAAAAAAGAGGCAGCTGATGGTGGCATCTTTTTTTGTTGTCTGTTCACCAATGATTTGAAAAAAATAAAACAACTAAATATTAGCACAACACACATAACACACGCCACGCACACCACACACACACACAGGCGCACACACAGTTACAAGGGGTTTTAACTGCCACTAAATGTACCAGTAGTATCATTAGTAAAAATACTGAGTCGGTGCCATGTTTTGCTATATTCGTATAGTTGTGCTGTGTTCTAATTGGTTAGCTAACCCACCAATTATGACGTGGTGCTTCCTTGTTTGGATAATCAAAAGGTTCTATTTAAGGAAGTCAAGGCTGATCAGTTCCGGGGGTTGCTGAACTGTAAGGACACATACCAGTACTTCAATTATGCACTGCACCATGCATATTTAGCCTTTTGAGGAATATTGTGTTGTTTTTTGCACAGGCTACAGTGAATACAGACTGAAGACCAGCAAAAGATGAGCTGAATAAATGTGCATAACAACTCATGCATAAACTGGGATTTTTTTTTTTTTTTTTTAAATCCGCATATTTGCCATTCTTTATAATGCAGCACCTCAGTGGCTGCTTCCTTAAGCAAATAATGACTATACAGTGTATTCTGCGTAGTATATACTGCAATGGTAAACTACTCGGGAAATGAAAACCTAACACACAAAACCTTCAGATACTGTACTTCTGCCAAACAACACAAAATTCTCCCAGAGCTTGTGTTTCACAGTTGATCAGCACTGATTCACAACAATCCCCACCAAACTTCCAGATGGCCAAATACCTTTCCTCTACTGCACCAAACGCAAAGCCAAAAAAAAAATATCTCAGCAATAGGAGTGAACTGGTGTACTGCTGCTGATGTGCCGGGTGTGATATCAGAGCAGCAGAGCGGAGCAGCACAAAGCCCTTCATCTGAGCCGGGAAGTGTGTCAGAGTGAGCGACAGACAGCAGATCCCGGGGGTCCCAGGGCAGCGCTGTGGGTCCTCACGTCCTCCTACCCCTTCACCCTCTCTCTCTCTCTCTCCTTTTCCCTCTTGCTCTCTCATCACCGTTTCTCTGACTCTCTCCCAGTGCTCTATTCCCATTCAATCAAATTCAAGCAAAGACATGCAGGGCTATTTATAGGAGAGTGGTGCTTTTTTATCAGCCTGTGTCTATTTGTGGCGCTCAGAAGTACAGAGGGCTTCCTGGCTGCTGACGTCAGCAGTGCAGCGCTGCAGAGAGATGGGGGTTATGTGAGATAGAGAGGGAGAAAGGAAGACAGAAAGAAAGAGACCAAATGACAATGTGAGACAAAAGGAGGATAGAACAGAGCTGGAGGATGCATGACATTTGGTTATGGGTAGAGTATTTGCATGAAGCCTCTCGGGGGGAATGAGAAGGTTTATTTCTGTCTGCAAGATGCAAGCACAAAATGAGTGCACAATCTGTGTACCTGTTTCATGCTCTGATATAATAGCAGGCTGCATGGAAAAAAACTAAGTGGTTAGGATAAGGAGCCCCTCAAGAGAGACTGGATTAGTGGAGAAATGCCAACCATGCTGCAGCTTGGGTAAACACCATCAGCAAACCCAGGACACCCACTGACTCATGCATCACGTGCACAGGCACATACACATACATATGTGCATTCACACACAAACAAGCATTTTACACTGCACACACCCACACAGTAAATCCTTGCGCATACATGCAGCAATGGGCGGTTTGCGTGAGCGATGTGAACATGCTTGGTGGTTTACTCCCACTGAAATGTACTACATTAGCTCACGATAATTTCACACATTAGCTCTCAACTGAAATCTCCACTAATTATATACATCACCTGAGGAGAATACAGAGTTAAACCAGACAAACCGGGGAATAAAGGTTGAGGTGTCAACTATAAATTCAAGCGGAAACAAACGGTGGGAAAAAAAAAAAACCCTGCAATTGATCAGCTATCTCTTGAGAATAATGGAATATGTGACAATGATACTTCTCAGCTGGGTACAGTGCTGGGTTTCTGGGAGCAGACACTCTGTGAGCTCATTCAGTCAGTATGTGATTAGAGAAAGCACATCCTTCCTGAGCAGGCCCAACACCAGCACCTGTTTACACTAGAGGGCTATTTGCTGCCATAGTTTAGGTTACTGCTAAAAGGAGAGAGGTTAGTTTCCATCTCCATGGATCAGAATGAGAGTCAGAGAGAGAAAGGGATGATGGAAGAGCAAGAGCAGATGGAAAGAACACAACTCTTCTTTTTTTTTTTTGTTCTGGGAGAGGAGAGGAGAGGAGAGGAGAGGAGAGGAGAGGAGAGGAGAGGAGAGGAGAGGGGTCACTTAAGAGCACAGAACTAAGGATGCCAGTCAATGCATTTTAGTCAGCATTCTTGGCCAGCTCACAGCTTCCACTCACGAGGACAGGGCAGCACAAACAACACCAGCCAACGGTGACGGACACAAAAACAGAAATTCTTCACAAAATCTACCTATAAACTTGACACAAATCTGGTCATCTCTTTTCAGAAAAAGACAGAAGCAATGACAAAAATATTAAATAAAAATCATCATATACCATTCACACTCACCCAAAACTATCCGAAATACAGATTTTAATTTGTATGATAATGGCAAATTCTGCATAAACATGTTAGATGGGGATAAAATCTAAAAATCTAAATCTGAATAAAAAAAATCGTAATTGACATTACACATAATCTAACAACTGTGGAGCAACAGAAGAGATAGCTTGCTTAAAACTTAAAATGGATGCTTGTAGACAAAGACTGACCTTTCTATCAGTGCATTTACTGAATACAAATACTGAAATCTACACATAAATAAGGTGGCATTCATGTATTTTTAAGGTTAATCTTGAACCTAATTAAGTAGAGCACCGGCATAATATACAGTTTTTAAATTTCATATAATTTACCTATTTGACTGTCTTCAACCTGTTTTCTTACAAATAGAACAGAACTAGATAATGCTAAGCAATCTGTGGTACTTGAGTCAATGACTGTGTCAATTTTCTCAAGGGGGAAAAAAACAACACACACACATTGCTCAAACCTTAACAGTAACTATAGCAATGTCACAACTGCTATGAATGCACATAAGCTCTATTTCAAACATGTTGCACACTTCACACATCCTGCTAGTGTGTCACGCCTGCCATGTCCACATGCAAATAGACACATTTTCTCACACTTCTTGTCTTACGAGGAACACACACTTCATGTAGACAGATCAAGTAGACTGTATGCATTGGCACACTGACCTATTCAGTCTGACAAACAACAAGGTTAAATCTACCTCACAGTGGTACCTAAAAATATATCAGAGCTTTACACGCATATTCCGAAAACACATAAAACACATTCACGTGCACAAAACTCATCCACAAAATTGTTATTTAAAATTGATAAACAAACTTATCTTTGTTTGGGTTGGCACACTGACAGAGCTTGTCCTTACCTGCACCAGGAAGATGATAAGGAAGTAGAAATTGGCAATTCTTCTAAACTGTTCAAACAGATTCTTTGGTAGAAAGTTCCAAACTGTATACTGTTGAGGAAAGGAGGAAAACATTCATGTAAGTCACAGAAAGAAAAAAAACAAAAAACAAACTGGTACTACAATGTGCGGAGGGCTTTTTGTTGCTCTTTGGTCTTTAGTTTTCCCATTCTGATGTGATGTTTTCAACCAAATTTTGGGAGATTAAAGAACAGCTTGGCAGGGGAGAGAGATTAGAGACATTCAATATTCACAGACTCCTGCATATGTGTATTATGTCTGAGCTGGGGGAGGAAAATAGGAAGGCAACTTCAATAGCTTGGAGCCTCTGTTCTTTGTACTGCCTGGGGAGATGGCCCTTGGGGGCCCACAGGTATTTCATTGATTTGGATTAGCGATTTATCTCCTTAATTTGGTTACCCTTGAATGCAGAGCCAATGAACTTATCAGATTGGTGACTGTTTCTTTGTGTTTTGTTCTTTTTTAAGTGACCGTGACTGCTGATACCGTCGGGGCTGAAGCGTCACTTTTATCTGCTTAAATCCCTGAGAGACGGCTCAACAATACCCTGCTGGTAACTTTGTGCTGCGCAACAAAACACCGGGTGAAAAACACAAATACAAACACATGCCGGCACACGCGCTTACACACAAACTTGCACAGAAACAGCAATAAGGCACTGTTTATGAAGGGGGAATGTCTGCATGGGGAGAGTGTTGAAATGCAGCGGCAGCAGAATGGCCCATCTCATTTTGCTAGAGATAAAAGAGAGTGAAAGTAATGAGAAAAGGGGGGTGGCAGCAGTGAGGGTGGCTGAGTGTGGTGGTGCAGTAGCAGGAAGAGCAAGAGAGGAGAGGCGGAGATTGGTCATTGCAGAGTGCAAAAGCAACAGGATGATGGAGAGCAGAAGCATGGAAGAGCATAAACACTACAGCTGGGGTAATTAAAGACTGTTTACCCTGACATGCTGGCAGCAGCCAATTGATCGGACCTTCCTCACTGGGACCCTCTGCACCACTATAAATCCCACCGCCATATTACCCCCGCACTGCTTCCTTCACCTCATCACTTTCACCTTTCATATCAATAAGCTCACCAGCCAGCACCTGCCTGATCTTGCCGTTGACACAGGACTGATTGGTAAGGCTTTAGGTGGGGGGGTGGGGGGCAGTCTATCAGAGCCCAGAGGAAGCAACCGAATTGCCCACCCTTCCAATACATTAATAGTAGCCATGTATTTCACTGCCACAGTCAGCGCTCCCCTGACAGACAAATAATCGCCTTCCGCTGGGAGCTAAGACAAGTGTGTAAAGAGGCAGTGGGAGGAAGGAAGACCTGGGGATGCTCAGGACTGTTCAAGGGTTCATTTTGCATTCCTAGTGATAAATAACAGAAGGAAATGCCTCAAGGCGGGTGAAACATAATACACAGAAAAGCTGAGGCACAAACAAACAAAGGTATATGAATTTTATCTTGGTTATGGTCATACTGGAGCCCTAAGCATACAGGTGTGAGTGTGCTTCTTACCTTGGAGGAAACAATCCTGTTATCACAGAACTTGGGTGGGATGAAAGCCTCATTGGCAGGACATGCCCGATGACCAACATAGATAGTCCTACTGTCAACTCTTCTCTCATCACCACCAAGCTAGAAGAGAATGGAGGGGGTGGAGATAAAAAGAGAAAGAAAAGATGTTTTTTATCTTCACTTAAAGAAATTTTAAATATCGAACCTGTCTAATTAAATCTAAAAACAAAAATGTACATCATACAAGAAACAGGAACTACCTGAAAGAAAGCGACGTAGAATAGATCAATGAAAACAAGAGTGGTACACTGTTATTCGGGATAAAATCTACAATCACAAAGGATTTGTTGTGACTACAAAAATGTGCAGTCTAATGAGGCCTAAATTCCACTCATAGAATTAAGAGATTAGGATTTCTACTGTGGAGCAGAAAATTAAAAAGACCTGAAAAGCACTCTACTGGAAAACTGTTGTGCACAAGCCAATAATTCAGGGAAGGGACAAAGAAAGGTATGACAAGGGTCAACAGGCCAGAATAGTGATTGTGTGGGCACGATAACTTAATTTCTTCCCTCCCAGGTGGTCGCTCATCAATGATAAACAAATAATAAATGCAAGTAGCTGCGGGGAAAAAATGCTGTGGTCAGATTTATGGGTCGAGCTTCTTTGTGGTAATGCGGCAATATGTGTATACCCGCACATCTGTATGGACACAGCAACCTAACAGCTGAAAGAGGAAAGACTTTAGGAAGACATGAAGGATACATGCTGGATTCCTGTCAAAATGAGGTGGATTCCTCTTCCATAAAAGGCAGGTAGGGTGAATCACAGAGCAAGGTACAGAAGCCAGGTCATTGTCTTAACTTTCGCTGTCCCTACGTAATTCTCAAAAACAATTGTGTAAACCAACCCAAAAAAGGAACTGAGCAACTAAGAGAGGAAAATAAAATGAGTAACTGTCAAGTAGAACAGTTTATTGTTCCCTGTGCAAGGCTCAGGCTGTAACTACGCTTCCCTTTTAAACAAAAAGAGCAGGCATTCATATATTATTGTTCTTTCTGGCTTGTGAAAGTTTTAATTACACTGCTCTACAAAAGGTTATCAAGCTGCAATGTCACAATTTTACAACAGTGCCCAAGAAGCAGGATTTAATGTAGATCAGCAATATCTGTGTAATATCCAGTCTGTTTAATAGGCCCAGTATCAAAGTCAATACTGATCTGATATTTCAGACCAGTGCATTACGATGATTCCCGGTCACTGAACAGGATTTTTGTGCATCCAAAGAACTGCATCCACACTTTTTTTTTGTCCTCAGAAGGCCAAAATGTAGCCTAAAATATGTGGGCTACACTGGTCTCTTAAAAACCTTACATACATACCACACACAAGAAATCCTAAAGCTTTGAGGGGACAGCTACAAGGACTGGGAGATCATGATAACAACAAAGCCAGTGTACTGGATCAGCCAGAGCTGCGACACTCATATTTACTTCCATCTCCTTTGCTGTCTTATCCTCAAGCGCATTCCTTATCTCACAGTGGATAAAGACTATTCCCACCTCTTTGAAGGGTAAACTAACTGATCAGTCAGTTAACCTAGATATTACAGAGTTAAGCTGTTTACCCTCTAGGTGTATGAGTGGCTGGCATGTGTCTGTCATTCATTATTACTCATTGATTAACAGCAATTAACTGGGTAGGTAGGGTTATAAAAAAGATCAGGATTTTTTTTTTTTTCAGGAATCATTTTTTAAAAAACTGCAATTTTGAGGGGAAATTATACTGCTAAAGATATTTTTAGAAACTGCCTCCAAATGTTTTTCTATTTTGGCATCAGGATAATGTTATTTAGATGTCCAGTCTGTCTGACCTTCCAAACAACCCAAATTAATGGAATGATGTTCGACTGCGACTGGCCTAATTATCACTTACAAGCCGAGAAGTTTGGCTTTCAACTATTGATCAGAGCTAAAGCTACATCGTGAGCACTGTGCCGTCTATGTCAAGGATGATATCTGTGACAACCTTCTGATTCCAACAACAATTTGGACAATGTGTGTCCTCAACTGCCCCTGAGTAGATTAAAGAACTGACTGTTTTGTTCATATTGTAAAAAGTAAATGTGTCTTTAAAAAGAGCAAATTAAGAGTTTTGCTCACATGTGCCCTCTCTGTACTTCTAACCAGAGAGAAAACAGGCAAGTACTTATTTGTATGGGGTACAGTGGGGGGAAAAAAAGTATAACTGGACAAATTCCAAATTCTTTTAACAAGCTTGTCTGACTGCAAACACGCTGCATCTTGTAGTGTGCTGCCCTGTGATGTTAACTTGTACACCAGCTTTCCAGGGAGGCGTCCCCTTCACTGAGAAGTATTTGAGCAGTAATTTCATGCATGATTCAAAGGATTCATATAAACTACTTCCAGTGGACACTGCAATTTTGGGGAATGTATTTGTAAGGTGTAATATATTTAAATTTCTCTTCGTTTTTGTTACAGACTAACGGTTTTTTCCTCAAGTTTTATCAAATTAGCTTAAGCATCAAAATTATGTAGACAGTTACTACCCTATGTCTCCAAAAAAACATTCTTTCTCTGGAACTGAGAGTAAATTCTGGCTATTGTGAGAGTACCTTAATCTGTTTTGATAATATTTTTCTATTATTTTTTAATATATCTATATTGTGCACTTTCACAAGATGTGTCATTTTCGAATTCAAAAGCAAAGATGAATGCATTCTTTTAAATGCGATTACATAACCAAATGCTTGATCACACTCATCACACTGACAAAACGTGACAAACAGAATCAGTGTCCGCAAAATGAGCTTGTTCATGTTGTAAACAATTTATTCTTTTCTCCTCTGACAATCAAAAACATTACCCAACTGAGGACCATGGCCACATTTCTTAAATGAAGTTGTGTTTTCAGTTTCAGCACAAGTTATGCAGCTAATACTGTGTCAGTAAATTATTAAGGTTATGCTGGCAGGGGATCTGCTTTATCTGATATAAAGGCCAGCAACATGTGGGTTGAGGGGGACAGATTACCATGAACATCTGATCCTGGACAAATGCCAGGAAACATGAATTATGGCCACCTGGGCAGCAAGCTGCCCAAAGTCTGTTTCTGACAAGAGGTTAGATCAGAGAATAGCCTCAAACACTTGGAAGTCTGATTTATGCATGTGAGGACAAAAACACAGCCTACATGAATACAGTTTACACAGTCATTTGCTTCTCATTAACAGTCAAACAACACAAAATAAAGGCCAAATTCTTATTGTTAATTCTGGAATACTTCCCATCTTCTCTACAGTTTAGACTAGAGAAGAGAGCCAACAGGCTTACATAATGCTCCCTTATGCATGAGCAGCCATGTTCACACCTCAGTATGGATGTCAACTTTACCATCCCCTACCCGCTCAGCACACACTGACACTGCTTCAGCAGGACCGGACGAACCTGGCTGCCAGAGAATGAGGGGAGAAACAGAGAGTGGGAGGAAGAAAGAGTGTGAGAGAAAGGAAGTGCAACAGGATCCAAGGACTAAAGCATATCCAGGTTTTCTATATCAAACAACAACCAGCCTCCAGGAGCAGTAAGCCAAGAACATCCCAATGGACCACGCTTGTTCATTTATTTGAATCAGACGCAGTGATGCTGGAAGTTAGCCTTCCTCTGTGTGCTCTGAGAAGGAGATGTAATAGAGGGTTTCCAGATAAGCAATCCTGTGAACAACCAAATTAACAATAGGCAGCAATGTAAGACTAGTAAAAGCAATAATGTACAAAGGGCTGTGCAGACAAAACATAAAATGCATTAAAGACACGATCTACAAACCAAATTAGCTTTAAGGCAAAGTACATGTGAAGGGCTCTGGCTTGTAATGTAGGCTTACAGGTCACAAAGTCAACAGAATTAGTTGGCAAGCATCTGCTAGTGCCAATCTTTCACTTGTGCCCATCTCTTTAGGTCTAATTATGCGCAAGAGCTGTGCTAAGGCACACTGTTTCAAGGTCACAGGCCTATCAAATAAACCATCTATACACTTTGTGTAGAATAAATCCACATTGCTGCTCAACAGTGGTAAAACAACCCACACAAGGAAGCCGTGGCCCACAGTGAGGATTTTCAAAAAGAAACATTGGCACCTACATACACATAACTCCTGCTGAAAATGAGTAAAATGATTCCATATGAAATAAGGAAGCAGTCAATGCCCTGGGGTCCTAAGATAAGAGCGGAACTATTGAATGGCCATTGATTTAGTGGTGGATTCACTGTAAAATATAATGAGGGTCAGATGATGGGGCCCACTTCATTTTTGAGCAGTTACGTGATTGCAATGCTCATCTCCAAAATAGAGAGCTGAAGGCCATACAAGAAACGCTAATGTAAGAAAAAACAGAACTGATTGCATTATCTTTACTTCACTGTCAAAGGTCAAAGAAAGCCATTCGATGCCAATGATGTTAGTAAGTAAAGCAGAGTCAAGTGCCAGTATGTCAATATAAAATGGTAAATTCATCCTTGATGAAAAAGCATCAGCTACAAAACATGAATGGAGATCAATAAAGCAAACATCTAGTGCTCAATTGAGCTGAGATGTAATTGCTTAGTCAAAAATAAATGGTGCATTAGAGAATTGAGTGAGGCTGAAACTTTACATTAAATTATGCTCTAAATTAAATTATGTACACATTGTAAAATGAGCACAGGCTGGGACAGGGAGGAAAGGTGCTCCAGTGAGAGCAGAGGGAATGTAAGACTGCATTCAGCTACTGCCAAACTCCCAATGATGACTCTGGTCTGATGACACTGCGTCCTGTCACACCATCTCACTATTCAGTGACTATCCTGTTTTGTCACAATCTGCATGCTGTTAGCTGAACAAAACACACTGAGTAACCAGAAAATGACAAAGCCCTATTCGTTGTATTACAATCCATCACACAACATCACTCACACCATTTAAAATGATAATTGTATATACATTTTTATTGTATTTGGCACTGCGTCAGAGAGATGTTGATTCAACTGTGGTCATTTCTGGCACAGCGGTCTGCAGTGTTTTGCTGGATGGCACTATATTTCCTCTATATATGTAAGGGAGGT